GCGCAGCGTTTGTAGGCACGCTGCATTCGATTTACTAACCGCGTGCTTGCATGCTAAGTCTTTATTTCAGGTGGTGGGTTTTCAATTTTGCCTAAATGCTTTTCTTTCTCATATAAATGTCTACCTGTACTCTATTCCATTAACTTGCACACTTCGCTTAAGCCAATTGTAGTCGATTTCCATAGCATTTTGTGTTCGAGGTATTCCGTAAAGTATACTTTCTGACCTCGCGAACTTATCTAGGATTCGTTTGTAAACAACTTATTACATATGCTCATTAACTTAAGGTTTATGTCACCGTTTCCTTATGCATTAATCGAGTTATTTTCTTGTCTCTCTCTCTCTCTCTCTCTCAAATGATTGGCTGTTGTTTGATATCCCCGGTGTGGCTGCGCTTGATGTGCATGTTGACAAGGTGCCTACCTGTCTATTACCCGCTACCTCGTCCATACTGGCTCCAGGAGACAGTTGGTCGTTGCTGGAGGGGACAGGGTGCACGGTCCTTGTGGCCGTGTTAGGCTCGAAGAGTGGTTCCATGCACTCAGTGTGGAGCGGACTACGGTCCAGCCACCGCCTTGTGTGCACTTGATTCCCCAAATAAAGCGTGCTTGTGTTTGCCTGTGAAGGAGTGTGGGCCGGCTCCGTTGATGAAACGTGGCTCCCATCCGCATGCCTCCCGGTCTTATTCCTTCGGGTTTACACTGGATATGGGGTGTGTGGATGGAGCTGTGGGTGGTGCAGCGCAAGCCACCCATGGTCCCTCTGTAGGCGCAGGCGTCCTGTGGCTTGCCACAGTGACAGGCAAATCCGAAACCGGATGCCGCCAACCATATATATATATATATATATATATATATATATATATATATATATATATATATATATATATATATATATATATATATATATATGCAAAGGTCTACGAATAGACATAAAGCCAACGGAAACCATGGGATTCAAAAGAAGGTACAGAAATAGTAAAACATAACACAACAATGCCCATGGTTTCGTCAGAGGGCGAGATACTACGCGGTTGCTCAAGCCGAAGTAGGGTGTTAACTTAGGGGACACCACCCCGAGCCTTTGGCTGAATAGCCTGCCCGCAAGGTAGCGGAGCGAATTCAGGGAATCGCGCCCATTGGGAGCCGGTGACTGATTGCTCAGTTCATACGTCTTTCGTTTGTTCCTTTGTCAAACAGGGGTCCAATGCTCCCCAGAATTACAGCATAACGTTGCTGGAATACAATGCTTCGCCAGGATGAAGCAAGGGGCAGTGACTTTATTTAGTGGCGAGTCACGTCCGACACGTCACAGTGTTGTTAAACGGACATATGTGGCTTTTTATAGGGAGAACGCTTGCCAGACAAAAACTCACCACGTCTTGGAACACTGCCGCCGAACCATTTGCTGGAACGGGAAAATCCCGAACCACCCAGATGGCACCACGAGGTTGTTCAGCAAGCTGTCTACTCTCGTTGCATTCGGTCTTCTGTTGCCCGTTACTCGTCTCAGACGGAAAAGCTTCCGATTGTTACCAACGGCAGCGGATATTTTAATTTTCGAGGCATGTTGAGACCACCACGCTTCGCGGTCTCTCTTCAAGCTAGCATGCAGTTTCGCTTTGCGAGTCTCACTGTGTTCGCGTCCAGCCGGAATACGTCGACGAGCATCCAGAAGTACCAGAGATAGCATAGAGACCCATTATCCAGGTTGGAAATTTGGTTTGCCACATGAAGATATGCCTACTGCTAATAACGTCTAACGGATATGTAAACAGTAATCTTCAACGTTTACTCAGGCGAGATGCCAGCGTACTTTGATACGCATACGGAACATCTGGTTTCGAAAGCTGGCAAATATCAGCGTTCACAGCGCCGTTGCGGACGCCCAGAGGAACGCACCCGGTCGGCACAAACAAGTACGTGTTCAGAGTTCACGCTGGTGCCCCAAATTGAGCGACAGTTTTGAACGTATCCTCTTCAGCGGTAACTGTTCACAATCTTATCGATTTGCGTCCATGGCTGGTCTGAGGCGGGGGGCGTCATGTCACCCTTCTGCACGTGCTATGTCGGAAGTTAGTGCTCGCGAGAAACAGACGAGCATCTTCACACAGGTGTAGCAACCGCTCACCGTTATTATTACGAGAGCCTACAACGTGTTGGCCCTCCCACATGAAGCTCATCAGTGGTCAGTTTTCCGACCTGGGCGTTTAAATCACCAGCAAGTACCACAGTAGCTGTACTTTTATGTGACGCAGGAGTGATAGAAGTCGGCTTTCACCGAGTCGGCGATATAATTTGTGGGTGCGTAGGCCGCAATGACAAGCATGCACCGTTTATCCCCAAGCAACTTCGATGCTTTGAACGAGCCAGCCAATCCGACAGCGCATATCCGGCTGTTCATTGGGACCCAATGGATCAAGGCAGATTCAGCCCGGGGACTAAGAGCAATGCCCTCACCGGCTTGACCGGCATTTGAAGCCGCTTCATCACCGGACAAACGCAAGAAAATACCACATGTTGCACGTTGGAGATCGAAGATTAATCACGGAAATCGAAGCTTAAAGGCGTTTCTGACAAGCAGCAGATACGGATTGATAGGGTCTACAGTGTCCGGGCAAGTACTGCCTGTTGGCCGATTTGCAACAAAGTGCGCACATTGAGGCATGCCAGTCTTAGGGCTCCAAAAAGAAGTAGATGAACTGAAGTTGTTCGTTTGGCTGAACACGAAGTTCTCGACTGGACCAGAGCGAACCCCTGCGATTGCGTGTAAGTCGATTAAAAGATAACCGATTACTGAACAAAGATGGGAAAGGGCCAATAATTGGGAGATTGAAGAGAAAAGGATAAAAGTAAATTTGGAACGGGACGATAAGGATGAAAAAGCGCAAGAAGAGGAATAGGAAGACGGGAAGGTTTGAGCAGTAGCATCCAAACCCATATCCACTCTGCTCGATGCAGCAGATAGGGCGCCGTTTATTATCTTCCGCGACGGCCAGAGCATCAAAAGGTTATTTGGAAAAGAAGTCATGTTGTTGTATAGCGTGGGTAGGATACTGTCAGGTTGCCCAAGCCTAGACAGGAGAAAGATTAGGGTTCCTAAGCAAAGCCGTTGGTTCAAAAACCTGACTGTAAGGCGGCGGGTTTAGCATTGGACTACAGAGAGCCCGCTTTAGGTAGTAAGGAGCCACATACGCTCCCCAACCTGGAGGGCCAAGTTTACAATGCAATAGTGAGAGCGGTTCTACTCTATGGCTGCAAGACGGCCTGTTCGTGCAAAAGATGTTGTGGGCTGTCTGTTTTTGATCTATGCGGCCTTGCCGGCATTGCTGGTGTACGATGGCAACATCACACCAATAATGAAGATGTTCGACGGATGATTTTCAGACCAAACAGACATTTCCGGCCACTAAGCAGCATAATTTCTCTGCGCAGACTCCAGTGGCTTGGACATGTTCTTCGCATGCCTACTCATCGCTTACCTCACCGTGCCCTCTTCGCGCGCGCAAAAGTCGACTGGAAGTGAAAGCAAGGTGGCCAATGTATGACTTGGGCCATGGTCAGGCGCTCCCAGCTCCCTGGCTGGAGTGTGAAGGATCCGGAACACGCGTGGCTGGAAACACTCGGATATGGCAGGAAATCGAGCGAAATCGCGGACCTGTTGTGACTCTTTATTCCCCTGAACACCAGGTTTTCATCTCTCTTCGTATGTTTATTGTATTTTCCATACGTTGTGGCACAATGCATATTGTACTATTGGCCGTGTTGTATATATATATATATATATATATATATATATATATATATATATATATGGAGGGCCAGGAAACTGAGTTTGTCAAGCATCTAACTACTGGCCAATGTGATATAAGTGACTTCGAAGGTGCAAAAGCACCAACCAGCATAGTCCGATGGATCGTTGAGGCACACACACCATAGTCCTACATTAAAGTCCAGTCTCATCGCGATGGTTTTGAACCAAAGGCTCTTCTGTCCAGGTCTGAGCAACGTGAGGGTAGTATGTGACGCCGGTTTCGCGAAAGAGAATTTCATGGTCAACTGAACGACGTCATCAGTCATAGAAGAGATGTAGGTACTGCAGTGTAAACTTGGAAAAATAGCCAATGATGAGACCCATCTAGGTGTTAAAACGGCGTCGACTTCGGTTATGATAACGGCGAGTCGTTGTTACACTTCCAAAAAGATGAACGTCTATTTCACGTCAGCAATAACTTCCAACACTGCATCCGTTGCATGGTTACATGACGCCCACGAACATCGAGCCAGATTTGGATGCAAATAGATAATACCTCGACCATTTGCCGTTGGAGAAAAAGTTCAAAAATGTCGCTGGAGCTGAAGCACAAGCGTGAACGCCGACCATGCAGTCGTATGTACCGATTTCAAATTGCAATGAGGCAAAAGTAAAAAGAAAACAAGAATCATTGAGGTATTAGAGACGGTACAAGTGGGGCGTGTGTGGAGAACAACTTCCCACCAAAAGGTGTATATTGTGCAAAGACATAGAGTAATGCGAGGGACCATTAACAGCACAGATGGTAAAGACGCACTGGTGTCCCATGTTCACACAGCAGCCATCGCAATAACTGCAAACGATGAATAGCTGGCTACCTGTGTTATGTGAATAGTGTTCAAACAACCGACTTGTTTGCGGAATAGCCTTTCGATTCCACAATAATTAAACAGCACATAAAGGAAGAGCTTGGAAAACGTAATATCAGCGACAGCTCTATCCTGTACAACTAATCCCCGATCAATATCCACGCAACCAACTCGAATAGGAATGCAAGATTTTTCTTGAGGCAATGTTGGACCATATATAAAAATGCGGAAACTGAGCTTATAACAAATGCAAGCTGCGGGCGTGAAGGAGCATGGGAGACCATGAGGTTGTCGTGAATCACCCAATCTATGGCAGACGAGGATGCAAGGGGTAGGGTATATAGTTTAGTAGTTGACTAAATCTGCTTCGAATGAGTGTCAAGACTTAACTTGCTCACAGCGTATAGCGACGCCCTGGAATGTTAGATGCGTCTGTTGTGCAGTCAGCAAAAAAGCTTTTTCCCCAAAATGTGAGGACAACGCATGAATCCTAGTACCAAAAACCCACCGTTCATTGGATTGCTTTGCTTCCTCTTCCACTCGAAGTCTCTCCAAATCAGCGAATAATTTACACGTCTGGACGTAGATAGCGTGACGCTTCTATAAATCGCGGTGGATGAACGTGGTAGATAAAAGGCATACCCTATCGGGATCATCTTCCTCTACCTCAGTTGGCTGACCAGCCTTCTTCAAACGCTTCCGCTTTTCCACGATCTAAAGGTTAGGTAAATGAAGATGAAAAGACTCACTGACCATTTGTTCCACACGGTCTTTGGCTTCTTCTACAACCTCCTTACATTTTCTGGCAGTTTCAGGGTCATCCAGTGCCCGATGGGCCTTTGTCAAAGCTGTAAAAACAAACCATAAAACGGATGCGCGAGAGTACCAACCATCGAATGCCTTCTTAGCCCTTTCGGGATCATCATGATTCTTATCAGGGTGGACAAGTAGTGACAGCTAAACAGCAGTAAAGTGGAGTGAATCAACAACACACCTGACGATATTTCCTCTTGATGTCGCCCAAGGGGGTGTCTGGATCAACCTGGAGAACCTACATGTGGAAAATATGATGGCAAAGACAAAAAGATACGTCGTAGGGATTTAAGTTGAAATAGGTGGAACCTGGTCTATTTAGCCTATCAATTTGCTGCTTCGAAGTTAGCACTGAATCGCGTTGCTCGATAGCCTTCACCTCTTGGTAGAAAGAATTGAATAGGATATTCTTATCATCAGAAGAACCGGACATGACAGGGTTAGACGGGAATGGCTGAAGTGTAAAGGGAAAAAGAATGGTAAGTTAACCGATGGGATAAAACGAGACAAGCGAGCGCTCCTGTGAAAGATTGGATGAGTTCAATTCGGAATGATAGACAAACGTGTTCCGAGAACCGAAATACCATGGACTGATTCGTCGTGAGGGGCGTTCTGGGATAAAAAATTAATGACGAAAAAGAAAGAGAGAACATAAAGGCATCCCGAAAAAAACGTTTATAAAACCGATAGGATCGTAGAGTGGAGAAAAATATACCCGAGGACGGGATACCGAATACAAAAACCTTCAGTAAAGCTATTTTTGCAATACCCCAACGACCGACACGGATAAGGTAAATAGAAGAAAGTCAAAAGCTGGCCAAGAAAAACACAAAAAGGAAACTTAGATAAAAAGACGGATGAAGTGGTGCCACACTTGAACGCACATTCCACATCACGGGAATCTTTGAATCAAAAGCACCAAGTTAAACCAAGTAATAACAAGAGACAAAATGATCGGTTTGACTGAAACCAAAGATGATGAGTACAAGTGCTCTCAGGCAGAAAATTCCTTTAACCCAAGTGTCTCGCGCCCCTTGACAAAATCATGGATTTTTCTATGCTGTGTTAGGTTTTGATGGTTCCAAGCTTATCATTAGACTGTCTTGACACTCACTTAAAAGCTTTCGTTTCACTATGCGTTAACACTAACACCGGTCAATTAACAACTGTATAGAATCCTGTTCTCTAGTTAGTCTTAGAATTAGAAATTATGTGTGTATCAAATCAACGGGTGGAGCCCGTCAGACAAAGCCTGCAGGGCTCCACCCTCTGATTATCAAGTCCTTATCGGGCAGTCATCTCACCATCTGTGACTAATCCGTTAAACAGGTCGCAGTTTAAAAGTGTGCTGCTAATGGAATATAAATGTTAGGTAGTAAGGGCGATTCCGAAAGGTAGTAACCCCAGCAAAGTAGACGACTACAAGACAATTTGTAGGACTCCTATTTTGGCCAAGATTGGGAAGAACAGGCATCAGCAATACGCCGGTACGCAGTCCAGACGCTTTGTTGGCGCGCAACCACCAACATCAGTCGCGCGTAGGCTAAGGATACTGCGAAGGTCGCCCGGTGCTCCAGCAGGCTTGAACCCTCAACCTCAGATTACAAAGCAGGCTTGTGATCCCTAAGGCCATGTGCCGAGAAGATTATGAAGACAAGTTTGACAGTGTCAAAAGATATGGTGCCGGTAAATCCCGGTTTCATGCCAGGTGGTTAATGCATCACTAACCTGCTCGTGATGAAGAATGAGTGGTTGCAAGCAGTGAACCAAGGGAAGTCTGTTGACGTGATTAAGACTGATTTCAATAAAGCGTTCGACAAGGTAAACCATGGGGTTCTGCTCCGCAAGCTGAGAGTGTGCGGTATTGGCGGCTCCGCGCCATCATCATCATTATACATGTCAGCTAGAGGTGGTAAAACACTTCAGCTACTGTACCGCAATACGTAAAGGAAACACATACATACATACAATACATAAAGAATAAATAAATACGACAGTTGCATGCCAGCTGAGCTACCAGCAACGGATAGGCATCGTTCCGGTAAGCTACCAGCCAGCTACTAGGCAAAAGAAAAAATATTATGTTTTACCCTACGAAACGAAATCGTAGATGGGAGGGAGGCTAAAAGGGATGGGGAGGGACAAAGAAACTCACAGCAGGAACGCCACTGAGGTCGGCTCCTTGACATGTCAGCAAGTGTATCCAGCCAAACGTGTTCATCGTCTTTTGGACCCCAACAAGGGAGCCGTGAAGCTCCAACCGAGGCTAGCTCCGAAGTGAAGGACTTCATTCCTCTGGACCAGGTCATCGCTTGGCCACCTCTCCGCGCCACTGGATGCGCGAGTTTCTGGTTCCACGTGAAGAGCGCAAACCGATAGCCACCTGACCGACAGGTAGCTTTCGACCAGTAGCATACCCCAAAGCAAGGTGCTGGGGCTTACATTAGTCCTGCTTTATATCAGCGATCGACCTCGAATGCTCCAGTCGCCTTGTGTCCTGTTTGCGGAAGACCTGAAGCTAAGGAAAGTGATATGCACCGCTGAAGGCTGCGGCCTACTTCAGCAAGACCTCATCAACTTTCCATGTGGTCTGCAGAAGTCCGTCTTCCGGTCGACCCATTCAAGTCGGTATTCATGAGTCTGGAGAATGGTGGTGACGACCGAGCCTACTCCCTTCACAGCCAAATGCTACACCTCACACCTTTCGTGAATGACTTAGGCGTGCTCTTACGTTGTGATTTGAAGTCCTTAGATAACACGAACAAGCTACACCGAAAACGACTGCGCATGCTATGGGTGTTCAAACGCAGCTTCTTCATCTGGTCTGAAGAGACTGCCATTCCCCTTATTTCCATCACCAGGCCAAAGCTAAAGTGTGAATTGCCTGTCTATTGCCTGATCACTAGAGGCGAGACGCTACAAGGCTCTTCCCCAGTTTACGAGGCTTGCTGTACGAATAATGATGCGAAAGGCTTGGACTGTACACCTTGACCTATCATCAGGTGAGTCGGACTGCTCATGATCCACCGCACTGTACAGCTAAGTGACTTAACCACGCTGAAGTCACCGCTGCACTTGCAAACATCTTGCAGCACACGTGGACAAGAGTACGAGCTTGTGGTTCCATATCTGAAGGGAGCACCTATCCCCTGCGTCTTGAACGGCGAGTGATCAATGTTTGGAAAAGTTTGCCGGAGCACATTATGGAAGCAAAGTCGGTGCAGCAATTCAAAACATTTTGGATGCGCATTTCTCCGGTATTAGATTTGAGAACGATTGCCCAAGATAATGATATCTCACATTTGTGAGGCCTAAGTTACTGTGAATTATATGTTATTTTTTACGATGTATGAAAACTTGAATATTGTGTTGACGAGTCAAAGATATTTGTTAACGCTTTTGTTTACGTTTCCATGGAGTTGTACAGATTTAATTTTCTACCACTCACATAACACAGTACTCAGTAAATCTGTGTTTTTCCTATTCATGTTTTTTACCAGTACTGTCTTTAGCATACTTCATCTGCAATTCAGTTAACAGGTATTCGTTACTTTTTTCGGCATATTATCCTGTCCGTACCCATCGCCTGAACTAGTACGATTTGGCCTGAAAGTTTAACGCATTGTTCTTTGGCGGAAATCGTTTCGAGAAATAGTGTGGGATTTGAGAATACTCCACTTGTGATGGATGATGTCTCATCTTGTCGTGAAGTGACTTATCTGAGTTTGTTGTTTTGATTCCAGGCTAATAATTATAGCCACGTAAGGCATAATGCCACTGGTTCGTTAGCATCAAAAGAATAAATAGTGCCATGCTCGAACTGAGGCGAATAACCGAAAGGGCAGCCCATAGTCTATGCATATGAAAAGCCCTAAATATGTAAAAAAAGTGATGCTGGCATACATGCTATTACGTTACATGAACACAACTAAATGGGCACGGAAGTGCGGATGAAGCATTTCGAAAGAATACCTTGCATTGAAGCATGTCTCCAGGAGACGGTTAAAAGGATAGCCGTATTGCTTTACTTGAACATTTAGCCGTCTCCACACTATTGTTCGCAATTTATCAATTCTTCCGACACATTCAAGTTCAACCTACCCTCAATTCGTTTGTAAAGCGCACCGAAGCATAAACAGTCTTCTTTTTATGTGATCCTGCTATATATATATATATATATATATATATATATATATATATATATATATATATATATATATATATATATGGCTTCTGGTAGCGAGATCCAGACAGATCATGGACCCACTGCAAATGTTGCTCTGGACGTCTCGTGGTGATAGCTGGGTGGGAGCTGGATTGCATCCTTCTTCTAACTAAGAGCCAGGACACACGATTCAGCGTGATTCGGTTCACTGGCACATGGCTCGCTGCCTTTATAGAGTACATTTTGTGGAAAGCTTTGGCTGAGGACCTGAGTTGCCATTTCGTCAGATGCGGACTCCATGGCAGTATTTCAGTTTAAAAGTAAACCATGAAATACACTAATACATACTGATAATGTCATGCTGCTTCGGTCTTCGCCCATTAGTGGGGGACAAGCAAAAACAAGCTACCGTTCACATCTCTCTTCTTTCTTCTTCCCTTGCACATTACCTCCAGTCCCTATTTCAACTAACTCATTACTTCCTCCAACCCAAGTCAACACAGGAGCGATTGCCCGGAGCAATCGGATACCTCCGCGCAAAGCGCTCAACATCGGGTACTGGAACGTTTGCACACTACTGGACCGGAACAAGAGTGAGCGTCCAGAGCGACACGCTGTACTACTCGCGATGGACCACGCGCGCTACTGCACTGACATTGTCGCACTGAATGAGACTTAGCTAGCTCAACAAGGCAAGCTGAATGAGGATGGTGCTGAGTACAGGTTCTATTGGGTGAAGAACGTCACCGAAGCACCACGCGAATATGGGGTCGGGTTTGCACTATCTGATCGTCTAAATTGCCAGCTGGTGGGTGAGCTGTCTGGAATCAGCCCGTGGTTGATGACCTTAGCTTTCGATTTGGAAGAGGTAAATTTGCCACTTTTATCAGCACTATGGTCTCACCATGTGTTATCCTGATAACGTCGGCCGGTGGCCGAGTGGTCTGCACGTTTGCTTTGCAACCATAAGGTAACCGGGTCGAATCCGCGTAGGAATGGGCGTCCTCGCGGCATACTCAGCCCGCGCGCGACTGGTGGTGGTCGCGCGGCAGCGAAGCTCTGTTACGGCGTACAGCTGACACATTATTATTATTATCCTGATAACATGGGGATCAGTTCTACACTCAGCTATACTCCGTGATACGGTCTGTGTCGAGGAGCAACTAGCTGTTCTTACTGGATGGTTTCAACAGGCGCGTTGAGCGTGATGTCGCGGTGTGGACAGATGTAATCGGCCAGTATGATATTGACATAGCCAATGGGAACGG